ACCCTGGCCGGTCATTGTCGATCACATTTTGGCCGTTTATCGGGCTACCCCACACGGTAGTACTGGGGTGTCCCCCTTTCAACTGAGAACCAATAGTGTCCCTCGGGTGCAATTGTCCCCCTTAGTAGGTACGGAAGTTAGAGCAACACGGGCCCAGAATCGAGACAAGGCCCGCCACTACATGTACTTAATAGCTAGGGCCTATCCCCCGTTAGCTCGTCGTCGACAGCAGGCCGTAGATCGGACACATCAACGGCAGATCCGTGACTACGAGAATTGACATGCGTCGGCGGGATCACTGTCCCGCTATAAAGTTGGGGACTTGGTGCAGGTACGGAAATCTGCGCGTTCCTCCAAGATCCACCCACGCTACACAGGCATTTACTAGGTCAAGGAAGTTGGCGCACAGGGACAGCACTCTGTGAAGCTGATTCCCCGTCACAACTCCCAAGCCCGACCGCTGACACGGCACGCTGCCGCGCTCCGGCCCTTCTAGCCATCGCTAGGTCCCCTACGGATCCCCGCTCCTGCGAGATCACCCTCTCCTTCTTCATCCTCCTCCTCTTCCCGATCTGCCTCGTCCATTGGTGCTGAGAGTTTCAGGGAGCAGGATGAACCATCACCAGCCGGAGCATGAGCCCCTCGAGCACTTCCAGACGACGCTTGCAGATCGCTTGTTGCGGCATCGGTTTAATGAGGAGAGGCAGTTGTGGTACGACATCCAACACGTGAACGTGCCAGCGCCCGGGGTTGCTGATTTGGCAGCGTACTCGTTGCTTTGCGATCGGCTGACATATGCGGGAGTGTATGTGGACGTGACGCAGTTGCTTGGCCGGGAGACGACCCGAGTATTCATTGAGTTCCGTGCGCTCCAGGTGGCACCCAACTTCGTGCACAGCGTCGTCAACTTCATCGGAGACTTGACGGTCCTACCGCAGCAGAATCAGGAACTGGCGCGCAGCTTTGTGCCCGAATACGTGGCGGAAGCGGCCAGATCAGTGGCCAGAGTGCAAGGACGGGGGGGACACCGATTCACAGCCCACGAAGTGCTGCTGCGTAGGGCAGAGGACAGACCGATTGCGTTGGTGCCGCAGCTCCCCGCGCTTCTCCCTCCCGCTGTTCCTCTCAACCTCCAAGCTATTCCCCCTGTCCCGTACTAAATGCCTCCTTCCTTCTCCTACACCACCCTCCCCTACCAGCTCACGGAGGGCCCTTACCCCATGCGCGAGTTCTTGGAGTATTTGGTGGAGCTAACTGACGTGGAGCCGCTGCCCTTCACCGACGAAGACGCGTGGGAGTTGCACCGTGCGCTGTACAATTCGGTGGCGTTGGGGATGTTCCGGTTCTTTGTGGATCACGAAGACCACGCTATCGGGGAGCACTTCGTCGTTTACTACGTCATCGCGAGGCCCAAGCCAGCGGAGAAGGAAGGGACGGTGGCGCTGTACCCCTTCGCCCCGCTCCAGACAATCAATCCGGGATTGTTGGAGCTCATACCTCTTGAGCTCCTCTTCATTGCACAAGTGATAGCGAGCGAGGAGGAGGAGATCCAACCACGATTGCGGACGGCGACGGCCCCGTGGAGAACGTACAACGCGGTGATTATCCCGGATTACATTGCGCAGTGCGCGGAGAGATTGGAGGACTTCCCGAAGGAAAGGCCGTTGCGTCCTCCCTCGTCGTATCCTCGACCAGCGCCGCCGAAGGCCCCCAAGAAGACGGCGAAGAGGAAGAGACGTCACCCGTCGCCAGGAGCGCAAGGCAGCAGGATCGGCGGCGGCGAGGAGGTGGTTCAGCCGTCGCGTACGCTGATTCCTGACCCTGTGCCTTGGAGGGCGGCGACCCTCGTTAAGGAGACTATTGTGCCATCGCTGCCCATTCCGCGTGTGCCCAATCTCAATCTTGATGGAGCCGGGCCATCAGCAACAGCAGCAGCCGGAGGAGGAAGCTGAATGGGATTTCCGGATCCCATATCCAGACCCCCCGTCCTCGCGGGACCTCTCCGTTCCCGCCAGCCACCCCGGGGTGCCCCGGTCATTCACATTAGTAGTTCATCCGAGCCGGACGGTCCATCCGACCGAGGTGGACTTCATGGTGGAGCCCGCCACCATTAGGCTCGAGGCCATCGCGGGGGTGCCACACCCTGATCCGGCGTGGGAGCCATATCTGACACCCCCTTTCCAAGGGTGTATTGCGGCGCGATTGGCGGGGACGCTCATTTACGAGACCGGGCAGCATCCAAATGCAATGTACCACTTCCTGGTCTTCACGGCGCAGAAGCGGGAGCGGCGGCCTTACACCGAGACTCGTGTGGTGATGACGGGTCCAGGGCCCCGATCGGTGCACAAGCGGGTGGTGCGAGCTGTAGCGGATCTGGCGCCACGTGTCCTCTCACATGTGCCGGGGGCTTTCCTTTACCCCTCATTCGTCCAGCATCGCTTCCATGAGGAAGATGCGCCGACGACTCCTGCGGCAATGGCCGCTTTTCTTCCACCTATTCCGCCCACTCTCAATCCCGACATAGATCACTTCCTCTGATCACCCTCGTCTACCTTTCCCCTGTCCTCTTCTTCTCCTTCTCCTCTTTTTCTTCTTCTTTTCTGGATCTAAAAGCTCGCGCGACGATACGCGCTGTATATTTATAAATAAAAAATAAAAAAAATAAAAAATAAATAAAAATTACTTACCGATTGGGCCAGCTGACGATGAAGGGGCCGCCCGATCGAATGTATACTATGGGAGGAGGCGATGGAGGATGCAGGATGCATCCACGTACATTAGGAAGATGATCGGGCCAGCTGACGATGAAGAGGCCGCCCGATCATCCATGATATGATGGCATCGGCACTCGGGAGACTGCTAATTTTCCGGAACCCTCTGCGTATCACAGATGTGATAAGCTCAGATCCGTACCGCGTGGCTTGCCGTATCCCTGAGGAAAAATCCCGCTGAAGCCCCGAAGTACGGACGCGGATAAGGGGTTTTTCTTTCTTTTTTGAAACGGCTTTTTCATTTTGTTTGGTTAATAACTCCCGCGGGCGAATGGCGGCCGCGGTATGAAAACCACGAAACGGGTGCGGTTGGGACTTTTTGAATTTTTGCACGCGCGCCCAAGCTCCGGTTTCTTCGCGCGTCTCGCATCCCCGTTTCTTGCTTTGCATCCTCGCGCCATCTTCCCTTCTTGCTGCGCGCGTTTTCCCCATGCAGGACTCTTCGTCTTCCCCTACGCCCAGCTTGATCCTTACCCCGTCTTCCTCCGCGAAGTGATTGGCTGCGTAGTTGGGATGCTCGGATCAATGTGGAAAGCGGAAAATCGCGCACCACTTGGACAAACACCCCAATCACGTAGCCATACAATCCCGCGGATCGAACCCTCTAACTCCCCACCTCTCTCTCCTGTCCTGCTCATCTACACCCTGCGCTGCCCGCACCTCGCGCTGTTAACCCGTCGCCTCCCAAGCTATAAATTTGTGCAACCCTCTCCTCTCCCTCTCTTTGATCTCGGCTGCAATGCTGCGTGAGCTATGCGCGAGAGTCCACGGCGCCGAACAGGCTCGACGAGCCCAAGGACGGGCGGAGTGACGGCGTGGGGTGGACCCCGCGGTAGTCTCGGGGCGAAGCAGTCGGAGGGACTGAGCAGTGGTGGGGATTGGACGCCGGCCGCGGCAGGGCCTTGTGGCTATGGTGGTCGGTGGTCTTGGGAAGTTTTGAAGGCTGCGCCTGGGGGCAGCAGTTAATTGAATTTTTTGTGTACAAGAAGGACTCGCTTTTATCTCCATTGCTGCTTTGTCTATGCATGTCGTGTGTGTGAAGCCCCGAGTGATGGGAGTTGTTTATGCGCATGAGTGACGTCAAAGGTCCATGGATGATTAGATGTCCTGTCAAGGGTTGTGGATTGCATGCATGTATGTGTCTATGTACTCGTCCGGGCAGGGATGGGAAAACTGAACTGGGGGACTGTCTGCTTAGGAGTATGAGTGTGTTGATCCGGTTGTTCCCCTCCCCTCCGCGGCCTTTCCTGCGCTCCCGCGCGGGCTTGGCATAACTCTCTCTCTCTCCCTTTTCGATCGCCTTCCTCTTGAACTAACAGTCATCGCCTTTTAGAGGTTCTCGTCCCCGTACCGGTGACGTCAACTGCCTGCGTCCGCGCGGACAGTCGACGCCCCCGCCAAGGGGAGAAAGCTTAGATTTCGACATCCTCCCCTCTACGCACCCACTTTCGAGAGAGAAGAGTTGCGACGTTTGTTGTATGGATTCGGTGTTGGTTCAGATGACCGGGAACGCGGGATCTTGCCCGTGTTCACCACGTACCTCCGATCGTCTCATTTCGCTACCGACTTCCCCATCATAGATGACGACAGCGTCTACTGCGATGCGGACGTACGGCGCGCGCTGAGGCGGACGGAGCAAGTGTGTTGGCAAGACCCGCCTCGGGCTTGTGAGATAAGGGGGAACGGGTTTGTGTTGATTGATCGCTTTGATTCCCGGACTTTAATATTGCCTTATACGGGTTTAACGGTGTTACCCTGGTCGGCCGCTCACGCCGCGTGGCGACCGCAGTTTGATTGTCGCTGGTGTCGCCAGGGGGACTCGTGTTCGTGGCGACGGCTGGTCGTGGG